AGCAGGAATCAGGCTTGGCTATTGTTGTATTATTGCAACATACCAAGAGACCCTGATTCTGTAGAAAAGATGGCCATATATGAATATTGACTAGAATTCAGGTATTTGTGTGGATTTTACTTTACAATCTTTGTGGTAAAAACTAAAAAGCTATCCAGAAGATCTGAAATATACACAATTAAATAAAATAAAACAAAAATATAAAGAATTACTTGCCTATGCTTTTCTCTTTAGTTTGTTTTATTGCTGAAGATAAAGCTTCAATTAAGAGCGTGTTTTAACTTTCTGTATTTATAATCAAGCAAAACATAAAGTAACATTATTTTACAAGTCTTCTTTTTCTTTTTATGACTTTATTTATATTTCTTTTCAGATCCAGAACAACCTGTTTGCCCAATTACTGGTTTGCCTGCCAGGTAAAAGATCTCAGTTACCAATTTGGTGGTTCTCGCTTTGTTCTTCTCCAACCTAGTTTGAATGAGAAGCATGTGTGTACAAATTGGAAATGCTTGATAATTTTTCCCTTACTATATCTAATGGGCTTGTTTTAGATTTTGGTTTCCTCTGTGAGTGATTTATTTTCAAATGATATTTACATAGATGAATTGGTATGATAGGTTGAAGACTTTAAAGTCATTTAAAAATTGATATTATGGGAAAATACTAATGAAAATCCTGCTTTAGAATTAGTTTTCAGTTTATATGGTTGTGGTACAAAAATGTGTTGCATTTGGCAATAACATAAGTTAGGCATGGATAATGGTTTGTACCAAAGAGAGAAAGAAAGGCATTCACGGTGGATGCTTGTCATAACTACTCATTTAATTTGTATTTGTTGTAAAAACACGGGTGAACCATATAATGTCAATGTTGGACTGTTAGTATGTTGCTTTTGATGTTTTGTTCTGCCCATGGTTTCTTTACTTTCTCCTCGTGATAGGTAATGTAACACTGGACAATTTAACCCTTTCCTTGGTTGTATCGCTTCTGTCTTTCCTCTCTAACAAGTAACATGATGTTTTGTTGTATTTTCAAAAGAAGATATCAATGTCTAGGGTTAAATGAGGCCATGGAGGGGATGTCAACCTACTATCTTTAATAGAGTGACAATTGGTAGTAGAAGTCAAAATGTATAAATTGGAAGTTGGAGATCCAGGTTTGGAGATTGTAACTCTAATGTAGACAAAGTTACTAGGTTTTATGAGTTTCTTTTGATTGTAAGCCTTTAGTTTTGATTATAAGCATAAATTCTTGGAGGTACCTTTTGAGGAGGAACATTAGGAGGGCTTTTCGAGGCGTGGATCTAGATGCTCATAGTCTAGATGGTTTCACCATGGCCTTTAATTAGAGCTGTTAGGACACTCATAGTCTAGGGTTTTCACCATGTGCATTTATCACTCTTGTGCCCAAATTATCAATTTTTCTATGCATATTAGAAAGTCTATTGTTCATCATAATAAAGAAATATTACTCTTTGCTCCAAAACAAAAGCCTATGACACCAGCTATATTCTTTTCTCAGTGCAAGCCTATATTACTTTCTGGACTCCAATCTTTTACGGTGAATTACTTTCTTATGGGATTAAGATTTTATAGTCTTTGTAGGATAAATGGTGGTCTTTTAAAAGTTTGGTGACGCTTTCCTATCATGGAACTATCAGTTTATCACTTTATGAATTATGCGTCAAATGCTTTCTTCTTGTTTGTTTATTGTGATCAAATCAGGTTATATTTTTGTTCTTGTGAATTTGTGGTCATTTTTGTTTCCAATTTTCTTATCTGTCCATATCTGATTTCCTGCCCAGGTTAGGTTATGCTTTCTTTCTTATTAAAACACTAGTTGATTCTTTCTTGAATATTCAAATTGCATCATGTTTAACCAGTGTCATGACTGTCATATATTATCAATAGATCAGTTGGAAGATTTTCATTAGTCTGTTCCCACTATACCCACATACTGCTAAGGAATTCTCTTTGGAATAACGTAGGTACCGTGATCCAAAGACTGGTCTGCCATATGCTACAAAAGAAGCTTTTAAAGTAATTCGAGAACGGTATGAGTATTCTGGTTTGCAAATAGTATTTCTCTATTTGGGATAGTGTTTGTCACATTTTTCCTTTTTAATTTTTTTTAACATCATATATTTCAGTTTTTTTTTTAATTATTTTAACAAAATAAGAATTTTACCAAAAGATTTGACCAAACAAATATATTTTTGAGAATTGAAGCTAATCTCTCTCTCTCTCTCTCTCTTTTTTTTCAATGAATGATTTGGTCTAATATTCCAGAGAAGGTGATTTCTGGACGACTGGACCAGTTCTACCCGTGTGAAATGTTTGTTGTTGAAGTTGCTATAATATAAAATTATTTAGATTAATTTTTTTTTCTCTGAACTTGACGTTGTTTTTGTTTTATTCCTTGTTCTTTACATGAAAAAACCCTACAGTTTAGTTGTTACATACAAAAATGTTTCCAGATAGTCTTAAATTTGGTCCCTATACTAGTATACTTGACAAATTTATTTATTTATTTTTCAGTCCGTTTTAGTCTCTACATTTGACACCTTTTTTTTTTTATCCACATTTGAAGGAAAATTCTGCTACTGTTATAAGTTCAGCAAATAATAGGACCAGATTGTAAACATTTTTTATGTAGGAACCAAATTGTCGGCCTTTTCATTTCATGTAGAGAGTAAAACGCAAATATGCCTAGTTAAGGGATGAAAGTTTTATTTTAATGTATAAAATTTATTTTGACTGAAAAGTAGAATAATTTAGCATGAAAGTGCAAACCAATAGGTAGGTACAGTGCAGGTATGTCATCTTAAGAGGGGAGTTTATGATTGACAAATTGATGCTCCACTGTTATCAATTTGTTCTTATGTTTATTTTATTTAATATTTTTCTTTTCATTAATGATTAATCTTGAAGTCCATGACATACTTAATGTGAAAAAGCCAAAGGTGGGTGTTTGATATAAAAATCATAAATGGCTCCTCACATGATTTGAGAGTTATTTTATGACATGGTATTATAAATTCTCTGATTATGTTGTGTAGAGTTTGATTTTGTTATCATCTTTCTTTTAAAAAAAAAAGGGTTAAATTTCAACTAAAGATTGGTTGAATTGGGTTGGTTGGACTTTGTCTACGCATCAAGCTGAAAGGGCTCCTGCATAAGAGGGTGTGCTAGATATGTAAACATTCGTGTAAGCTTAAGCTTTTGGAGAAGTTGGTTTATGACAGCGGGTTTTGGCTTTATAATAGAAATGCATTTTTAATCAAGTAAAATTTGGGACCATATACCATCCTAGCTAACCGTAAGATGAGTGACAAATTACATGTTCTTACATTTGTGATATGCTTTGAATATATTGTTGAGAGCAGGTAATGAAGTGATTGCATACTAATTGGTTTTAATTGATATCAATGGGGGATTGTTTTGCAGCTTTCTAAAAGAAAGTGCTAACTCTAGAAAGGACATGAACATGGGAGGCTTATATGATTCAGTTTCTGGATGTGGTTTTTCAATTAAGCAAAAGAGATCGGTAATGCCACATAAAAATGTCAATCCTGATGTTCGGGCCTTAGCTCGCTTTCGTAGAATTCCTGTTTTTGAGGATGAAGATTCTGACTAGCTCCCTTGGTAATTGTTTTCTTCTCATTCAGTTTTAAAATAATGTTTTATTATCCAATCTCTTGTAATAATGAAGTATGTTGTTAATTTCAGTGGCTAATAGTGAAAGATGTTATGGTTGTACTACATCATGTCCATGTTTTGGACTTCAGGTTGAGATAATATAAGAAACCGAGTATTTGAGCTCCGTTTTAGTGCTTTCAAGGAAATGTTGGTCTCCTGTCTTGGAGCTTGGTATGCATTTATTTAGAAAAAATGGTCTCTTATTTAAATTTGTCTCACTATAGAAAGAAACATGATATGTCAAATATTTATATTACAATTTCTTAGAAGTTTAGTTGTATATTTTGTATATCTTTGGGTTTGTCATCTGTTTGGGTTTGTTAGAAGTTTAGTTAGTCATCTGTTAGGGTTCGGCCATGAATGCCTTCATGTGAATGTTGGGCTTAATTTGTCAAATGCATCAAATTTTTTAAACCTGACATTTGTCTCAGGGATTATAAACTGTAACTCCAGGAGAAATTTACCTACAATGTCGAAGGTTTTAATTTTGGAATCATCATTACTATATTGTAGAGCTTTTCTTAACCATCCTTGACCTAAGATATCTTGCAGTTTTTTGTGAGGATTCCAATTCTAATAAGACATGCAAATATGATAATTAATTACGACTCCAAGGTTCAATTCTAATTCTAGTTTCGAGCTCCAATTCTATACCTAATTTAGTGTGCAAACGGGGGCACTTGTAATTAGTCACTAATGATAGTTATGCTTAAATTTAATTCTGATTTTATTTAAATGCAAGAGATTTCAATAAAAATGTTTGGAGTAATCACATTTGTCGGATAATGAAATTTCTTGGATATGCGATAATATAATTGATTTAGAATTTATGTAAATTTGTCAAATTGATTTTTAGTGAATTTGAATAAAAAGTAATGTGATTTTTGTTTAGATGATAAAAAATGAGGTTGATTATTATATTAATTATTGTTTGGAAACTTGTTATCAAAGTTCAAAATTGATTTTGAATGCATAATTATAAGTTTTGATAGATAAAATTTTAGAATTGATTTATTTTATGAAAAAAAATATTAATAGTTGTTTTTAAATGATGTGAATTTTCATATCTTGAAATCAATTATGTTAATAGTCAAATATGTTATAATTGTGATTTCAGTCAGTTTTGAATGCAATAAAATTGATTTTAGATATCTTTGATTCTATATCAAATATATCTTTTGTATACTAAAATGATTTCATTATCGAATAACTGAAAATTAATATATTTATATTTATAAATAGTAAGAATTATTATATACGTCAAGTGAGGGGAGCAGTTTAGATTCTATAATTATAAATGACTAATAAGATTAAAAGATTTTTAAAGTCATATGATAGATTAAAAATATAGATACACAACTTTTAAATAATTAAACACATGAGAAAATTTAATTGAAAAGAAAAAGATGATTAATTTCAAAACTGTATATAAGTTAAGGGTATTTTTCAATCGGTTCAAATTATTAAAAAAAAATATTAATAATTAAATTATGCAGCTTTTTTCATTGAGTAAATTAGTTATAAGACTCTTGTATATATAAATTTCAATCAATCAATTTATGTGGAATTAAATTAACGAATAATTTACATGAAGGTTACAATATGATCAAAGGGCCCAGAGGAATGTCTTTGACAAAGGGCATAAGATCAAGTTAGTAAGAATTAAATCCCTTTTCCATAGTTCCGTGGAAAAGCTGAACAGCCAGAAAGGCGCCAACGCGAATCAAAGGACACAACTACTAATTCTTTTAAATATATTATAGGGACCACGTGACACATGCAAATATGAGTTGCCATGGTCCATCAAATAAATAAATACAAACTATATTTACACTTTGATCTTTCAATTACACTATTTAAACTCAACAATTATTTAAATATCATACACCATTCATTCTATTATTTGTTGATTAAAAATCCAATTCCTTAAATTAAAGCTAAATACGTGTTTAGATTAGCATAGATGATCCAAAATTACATTATAGTATCGATCAATATAATCTGGTAAACGTTCACATATTCTAAAGAATTGATTGAGTTCAAAATTGATTGCAAGTGTATTTAGAACTGATAGATAAGTGTTCTTGACTCCAATAAAGTGATACAGGACGTTCTTATGTATTTCTCTTGAGTTTGACTAAAAAAATTGATAAAAGACTTTTCATACTCTTTCGATTAATGACAAAACTCACCTGAAACTTATTTTTGTAATTGATTTATATTTTATTAGACTTGATTGAGTTTATTGATATTTCTTATTTATTACTTGTTAAAATGTGATAATTATTTTTGTATTTCTAAGTACTTTTAGTACTTAAGTATTAATAAATTTCTTTTACTAAAAAAAAAAAAGTGTATTTAGAACTATGTAACAAGTATAAGCGTAAAAATGAAATTTATAAAAGTAATCAGGTATTAAAAAAAATTGAATGAAGAAAGATCTTTTTGTGTGAAGAACTTTTTTAAGGCAAGTTAAATGAATATTACGTGTAGCAAGCACCCCGTTTGGATTTCCGTTACTGCTCTCTCTCTCTCTCTCTTCTCTTGTGTCTGAATCCCAAATTATTTGGCAATCGCCGGCCACAAAATAAAAGCCGCAACCCAACACAAGAGCAACAATAATAAATAAATAAATCGTAAATTGTTTTAGAAAACATTTGAATATTTGTTAGAAAACGATAACAACAAACAATAATAATAGTTATTAGATTAAATTTGCTTCTCTTTCTTTCTTTATCGATAGAAGAAGAAGATCGAACGAAGGCTCCTCGAACCATTCATTATCCGATTCCATGGTGGCGAGAGGCGTGCCGGCGATGGCGGCGGCGGCCGTGGCCGCCCTTGACTTAACGGAATCCTCCAACTGGTGGCGGGACATCAACCACTCTCCGCTTTGGCAGGATCGCATCTTCCACCTCCTCGCCATCCTCTACGGAGTCGTCGCCGCCGTCGCTCTGGTAGCTTCAGATTTCAAGTTCCGTTAGGGTTTCCTATTTCTTTTATTTAATTATTTTAATTATAATCTTAGGTTCAATTAGTGCGGATACAATTGAGAGTGCCGGAATATGGTTGGACCACGCAGAAGGTCTTTCACTTTCTCAATTTCTTGGTTAATGGGGGTTTGTATCATTCTAATCCTTTTTTATTTTTTTTTTAATTTTTTTATAATGGAAAAATAATTATGAATCTCTTTGTATTTGTTTGATGATTGACGTTTTTTAATGCTCTTGCTTTCTGGTTTTGCAGTTCGGTGTTTTGTTTTCGTCTTCCGTCGTGATGTGCAGAAGTTACAGCCAGATGTAGGAATGACTTATTTAATTTTTTTTTTTTTTTTTTTTACAATTTCATCATACATGAAGTTATATGATGGCATGGCTAATGCTCAGCTTCGTGTGTGTAGATTGTCCAACATATCTTACTTGACATGCCTAGTCTTGCTTTCTTCACAACTTATGCGCTGTTGGTGCTGTTCTGGGCTGAGATTTATTACCAGGCAAGTTGAATTTTTGCTTCATGTACTGTTTTTCTTTTTGAATTAGCGTGGTCTTGGTGGCCTGATTATGACTTTGATTTTACTTGTTTTGCAGGCACGTGCTGTATCCACCGATGGTCTCAGACCGAGCTTCTATACGATTAATGCTGTGGTTTATGTTATTCAGGTGAAAATCTTTCTCATGATTTCACTTGTTGTTACCAATCACCCCAGTATGTTCAACTTCTGTTTGAGGCCATGGATGTTGCATGCGGACTATTTCCATCTTCAATTTGCATTTCTTGGCTTATGTAGAAACTACAATTGACAATGTGTCACTCAATACGGTAAAGAAGCTTTTAAGGTACAGCTACAGCTGTGTAAGATGGGTCCCTCCTCGTCCAATGCTTTATAGAAATAGTCCTTCGCATAAGAATTGTGGCTGTATCTATTTCTGAGAGGAGCTCCTAGATCAACAGCAGTTATTTCTTTGTCAGATCTGATGCCAAGTTAAACCCATCCTTCAGTCCCCAACTTTTTCCCCAGCAGAAAACTGTTTAATGCTTAGGCTTGTGTTTAATCTCACTATCAGATCTGTTTTATGAACAGTTATCAAGCGGAAATGGGGGATTGTGCTGGAGGTTATAAAAGATTATGGCAGTTTTTAATTGTCATGATTGAAGAAATCAATCCTTCTGAATTCTGATTCAATCTAGAAGGTTGCCACCGGAAAGAAACTTCTCTATAGCAGATTCACTGGCAATACTGGTGGGTACAATGGCTAGGCTGGTGAGCATGACTCTCTGGGTTCTAGACTAAGATCGGCTTTGGCCATCGTGTACAACCAGCAGTGACCACCACTTATGGGTCTCTTTCCATCTGATCCATGTGGGTATAGGACATCAGGGGCTTCTCTGTTGAAGTTCCAATCTCTATAATGTTCTAAAACAGGTCAGATCACCCTGAACTGACTTGTTTTGACCTCACAAGTCACAACGCAATTGTTGGGTCGATTAACCTGCTCCTTCTGGTGCAAACTATTAAAAAAAATCCCCCACCCCTGCAAAAAAAATAAGGACAGGGTGGAGCCACCTAATAAGTGAAACCATCTAGACAGCTTAGGTTCTTGGCATTGGTTTTGTTGATTCTTAACTGCCTAACATTCACTAGAATACAGCATTGGGAATTTTGTAGCTGCCTAGTAATTTTCCTTTGAGGTTACTAGGCACCTTGCAGTTACAATCATGCTTAAAGTATTTCCCTGTTAAATCAACCTAGCTTGAATCCTATGTGATACCCCCTCAGTCTCTCCATCACTTTGTAAGATTGACCTATGATACATAGAACGTTTAACTTGTGAATGTTATGATCCAAATCCACAATGTTGGTATCAAAAACATGACTGCCACTGTATTGAACATGCATTCCATATGCTCTATTTTATGTCGTGTGAATTAAAATCCCCTTGGCTCAAAGCTTTTCTCCAGAAATCAATTTTAGTTTTTTCTTTACTAATCAACTAAAAGTCTAAAACTATTATCATTTTCCAACAAAAAAAAGAAGAGTTTTGAGACTCTAACTCTTGGATGTGTACAGTATGTACGTTGTGCAATACCAAGGTAAATTGGTTTGGAATTGAAGTCTACCATTGGTGTAAGCCTCCCGATGTAGGAAAATTATTGCTTCACCTCCATGAATTCACGTACTAATTGATGCTCCAACTTTTTTTTTATCATTTATTGCCCAATATATGTGATAGTGGCTCTTTTCTAATCTAGAACCCTGAGGAATTATTGTGGGGCTCATAGTTATTATTCGCCTATAGATTGGTATTGGTGTGGAGCAACAGTTGACCACTATGATCAACTGTCCTGGGTCATTTTCACAAATTGCTGTCTGTGATATAGCTCCGCTAAAATGATGATGGGTTTTGAAAAAACCAATTTTTCCCCAGATTCAATGTTGTTTGGGGGCTTTTCTTAATTTTTACACAGTGAAACCTAAAAGAAAAAACCATATTCCTCATCCCCTATCCAGCCAAACATACAGCCTCCTCTCTTTCTCTTCTCTGCAGACCCATCTCTTGTCTGGCTGTTTTCCAGCAACTGAGATGGTGTAGCCTTCTCTTCTCCAGCCATTCAGTCTTTGATATTTTCTCTATTACCTTTTCCTTCACTTTTATTGTGAAGAAGCAGGGGAAGTCATGATTTTAATGGCAACAATTACACCTGACTGACTGTTATTTGCACTTGTCTGTGTTGGAACTGAGTCACCAGAGGCCACCACATTTCCAGAAGCACCTGCATCTTCCTAGTCCCTATAGATTCCACACCCCCGCCCCCCACCCACACCAAAATGCTGCTCTTAACCATTAGTCACCCATACTTTCACCAGCCCTTCACTTGATGCCTGTTGACAACTCCTTGCTGTCCACTGAAAACTTCAAACGGTTGCAACTAGAGGCTTCCCTAGCCTTGAAATGTGTTCTATAGCAAAGTCTGTTAGTTTTTTTTTTCATAGATGGGCAAAATACAGAGAAATTACCGCTCTGATATCAAGTTATATAGTCATAGAATCATGGTTAGAGAAGAAGGAAAAGAGAAAGACAGATTAATAGTAATAAACTGATTGACAGATATAATGTGTTCCAATACCTTAGTCTAGTAGTCTTGTTTATACTAATAATAGTCAAGTCATGTACTAGTAGCACTAGTACAAGCCCAAGTCTACCGACAATATGGCTAACAACCTAATAAAGTAAATAATCAGGAAATATGTTCTAAGATAATATAAAATATTTTCTAACAAAATAGATAAGAAAATATTTAGTGTCTTCAACTATAGTTGTCTTTAAGTAGGAATCTGCTGTACATCTCAGTTCAGCTATCAATAATATTTTTTCAGATCTCTCAATCTCTGTCATGCCATTCTAACAGTAAACTTGTTTACATGTGTTTCAGATTACTTTATGGTTGATATTATGGTGGAAACCTATCAGCGTGCTAGTCATCCTATCTAAGATGTTCTTTGCAGGTTTATATGTTTGAGACTCCTTTTTCTTTTTATGAGAGGTTAACTATCAGATTTTATTGATCCTGACTTTTATTATGTTTTGCTGTGCATATATGTAGGGGTCTCTTTGTTTGCAGCCCTTGGCTTTCTTCTATACGGTGGGAGGTGATTATCGGTTTCAATTTTCAACTGCATCTGTTGTAATTTGGATTATGAGATGAAATTAGTGCATCCGGGTTTAAGAATAACACTAAGTTTGGAATTCTGCCTTGTCTGAACTCAGAAGAGAAAAAATAAGATAAAAAATTTAATGGTGCCAATGGGGTTCTTCAAATATATGCCACCTTTCTGAACTGATAAAATTCAAATAGTTTAAATATATGGGTGCCTTACACATATATTTTGTTGTTTCGTTTTTGTCTGTATTCAGACCCTTTTTTCTATGAAACTTGTATTGTCCCAATGCTCAATAGCCAGCTAAAATGTAACATCATAAGCTGATGTTAGGGTGAAGGTGGAGTTGTAAATCACTTCATTGGATATGTAAATAGTTCATTGTAATTGTTTAGCCTACTCCTATATTATATATTAGCATACACAACATGAAGAGTAAGACTCTCATACTCCCTATTCTCTCAATTAAACATTCTCTATATTCTCTCTCTTCTCTCCTTTGGATATGCATTTCACATACTACCATGCAATTAGCCAAAAGAATGTCTCTCCCAACCATTTTAAACTACCATATTTTTATCTTTATCTATATACTTGATATTTTTTTAACCATTTTAAGTCATTGTGTGTATCTTTTTGGTATCCTATCATTTCCTTATCCATTTTATGTATTTCTATTTTGTCTGTGATATGACAGACTATTCTTGATGCTGCAACGCTTTCCAGTTGAATCCAAAGGTCGACGTAAGAAGCTGCAAGAGGTCTGTATTCTGTTTTACAGTGAAATTTTTTAATACTTATCTGGTCTTCTCCTCATTCCCCTTCCTTTTACCCAGAGTTAATCTACCTGATCTTACTAATGCAGGTTGGCTATGTGACTACCATATGCTTTTCATGTTTCCTTATCAGATGTGTTATGGTTAGTCTCTTTTTCTCAAAACACCCCGATGATTCCTGTTGAATGGTTCTTCAATTAAGTTTGGTCATTTTATTCTGTCAGATGTGCTTTAATGCGTTTGATAAAGCCGCTGATCTTGATGTCCTGGACCATCCCATTCTGAATTTTATATATTACCTGGTGAGTTTGTTTGTATTTCTTCGTTGTGGTACTTTCTTGCCATATTCCCCACTGTTGCTCATTGTTGTGCTGTTCAAGTTATATCATTTAAATTTTAGGTCTATTTAGGGTTTGTATAGTTAATTTGGTTTGAGATTAGTGTTAAAAGCTCCTACGTATTCCCTGCCTGAATATTGTTTGACTCTGTTAAATTCTGTGCGTTAGTTTTATGAACCTACATAAGTTTATCTTTTATTTTTGGCTCATCATTTGAGTTTAGTCTTCATTTTTAGTAAGACTACTTTTACTTGAAACAGTAGAAGTAAGGGAATTGATAAATTGGATTATAAGTTTCAAATCCTCCAATTCATATTGTGGGGATATATCTTGAGCAACTTTTCAACCTCTAGTGGAAATTTTTCTCACGGGAGAAAGGCTATTTAATTTTCTGATTTCAATTTAAAAGGAACTGAACTGCTGTTTTAGATACTAATAATTGCAATATTCCCCACATTGTTATTGGAAAGGAAAAATGAAATAAGTTTTTCTATAAGTTAATTTGTAGGAGCTTTCTTTTATTAACTTTTCCAAAATTTTATTTTAAACTTATGTATAAGTTAATTTTAGCTATAGAAAAACTTATTTCATTGTTCTCTCCTTGAAATACTTCCGGAAAAATTTACACAAACAAGCCTATATTTTGATCTAAAGGGTAAGTCATCAAAAAAGGTGGCTTGTTCTACTTTACCTAGGTCACTTCTCTTATCTTTTTTACATTTTTTGCTGCAGTTGGTGGAAATATTGCCTTCTACTTTGGTCCTTTTCATTTTGAGGAAGCTGCCACCCAAGCGTGGTATCACACAATATCACCCAATTCGCTGAAAAGCTTAGCATATGGAAAAAGTTTAGTCAGGATTTCCTTGGTGATTCTTTGCTTTCTTTGATGTTTCTCGCACCCCAAGGATAATTTCTAGTGGACAGAAAAGTCAGTCTTCCTTCTGTTGAGTCACAAAGCTGATATCATGGTTTTAAAGTTCTCCTAAAGTTTGTAGGTTTCGAAACGTGACATTTTATGGATTGTCAAACGTGTTGGGCTGTGTTATATAAGTGATATTTGCATTGTCTCTAAGAAAATGTGGTTGCTGTTTCAGTTTCAGCAATTCAACACGAGCAACCTTTTTTGGGAGAAAAGGACACTGATATATATACACATATATATTGTATAATAGAGTTTTTAAGCCCTGTAACTGCTACAAGTTGGTGAAATGTGTACTGTTTATTTTCAGTCACGTTCCTGCTAATTTATTGAATTCTTTTTTACATATCCCTACTTTCATTTCTTCTGTGACTTCGACATCGACTAAATTAAATTTCTATTTTAGCAGATCTATACTATTCAAGCTTTGAATTTCACACATGTATCTGGTTGTCCCTAAAAATATTAACCGCGACCAAGTGTAATGAAAATTTCCTTTTTGAAACGTTCACTTCCAGCCGTGTTTGAATACAATATCAACATAGCTCTTTACAAGCCGTGTTTTTGGTTATCCTTAAAGTTTATCGGTGGCAATGCACAACGAAATTTTCCTATGTTAATTGTTCCTTCGATAAACCATGATGAACACTCCACATCAGCAAGATTATCAACAAATCCAGAAAACAAAAGCATGCTTGCAATAACCTTACATGAACAAAGAATTCATACCTGGGGCATATTTAGTGGAATTCGATGTTGCCATTAATCAAGACCCTGGTTTTTGGGGTGGGCTTAATTGAGGATCTTGCTTGATGATGAGGACTCCGTTGTGGATTTGCTACTTTAGCCTATTGTTTCATCTGCAAGCAGTATAAGTATCAAATACCAGCCGGTCAGTATTTGATTGTTTGGTTTGACTTCGTTCACTAGAAGAATGGTAGGTTTGAATTATTGAAGAGAAAAAAAAAAAAAAAAGGGAACATCAAGAACAATTTCCGTGGATGCGTTTAAAAAATTGTTTCTCCTTTAAGTAAACGAGTATTATTTTAGGTTTTATTGTTTTGATATTTCTATAATATCAAATTTATTATTTTGATTCCTTAACTTTTAATTCTATAATTTTAGTCATTTAATTTTATAAAATTTACAATTTTAGTCTTTTACTATATCTGCATTTCTTAATTGTTAAAATTAAAACATTCATCATGATCTATCATTAAATAGATGATACGATAATTGATATTTGATAATATTTAGATTAAATTGTATCTTTAGTTCTCATTTTTATCCTATTTTCATTCATTTCACTATTTCTAGGCGATAAAAATGAGAATTAAGAGTTTAATTTTAGTTCAAATATTATTAAATAAGCTTAAATATGTTTTTATTCTTTCAAATTTAAGGTAAATTTGTTTTTAATTCCTCAAATCTAAAATTGATTTTTTTTAGTCCTTGTAATTTTTAAAAATTTTATTTTAATCTTTATACTTAAATTTTGTTAAGAAATCTGTCAAATGTTGTTGCATAAAATTTATATACTAGTATTCTTGATAGTGGAATCATCACATTAAATCTAATTGATGTTATATAATTATTTTAATATGTTACTTTTAAATATCTTATTAATAACATGAAGGATTAAAATAAGGGTTTTTAAAATTATAGGATTAAAAAAATAGTTTTAAATTTGTGAGACTATAAATAAATTTACCTTAACTTTAAAAAATTTAAAATTTATTTAAGTCTATTAAATATTAATTTTTATCTTATTTACTTAATGTTAGATCATGATTAACATTACAATTTTAATGATCAATAAATAAACATTCAATAAAAGACTAAAATTACAAAATTAATAATAAAAATATTAAAATTATGAATTTAATATTATAAGAGCACTAAATTTTAGTCATTATTTTATTTTGATTTCTAAAAGAGTATCGCATTATTGAAATTGAAAGTTAAAAAAACACGAGAACATCAAGAACGAAGTTGCTTTTTATAATGTTTCTCCTGTCATTCTGATTTCTAGACGTGTAATGCGTTGCGACATTAGTTCTTAAAATCAAACCTTTTAAGATTTCTAATTATTTTATCTAAATCCTTAAAATTAATTATTTATTCTGATTTTACTTTTAAATATATGTTAATATTATTATTTAAATATTAACACGTTGTTAGTTCAACTAGTATTAGATTTGATTCTCTTAAAAAAAAAATTTGATTTTGAGTTTTGTGTATGAAAAAAATATAATTAAAAAGGAAGATCCTACTAAAAATTGTCAACCAGATTTTTTGATAATCATTAGCAAAAACAAGTGAATACTTGTATAGATAATATGATTACCAGAAAAAATATTATTACTTAAATCACATTTTTCTTAATTTTTAACTAATTGATTGGCATACTGTATCTTTTTTAGAAATTTATTTGTTTTTTTTTTCATTTTATTTTAAAGACTAATTTGGTATAACTATATAATTTTTTTCAAAAACTAAATACTAGTTTATATGTATGAGTACCATGTAACCAGAGGGTTGGAGTCTAGAGTTGAGATCACCCAAAGATAATGATTCATGTTTCGTGGTGAGGTGTTCATATAAAATGGTTATATTATAGCTTAGCTTTATTTTAGTATCCATAGTATCCACAAAAATGGGGTGAGAAGTGTGGAGTTAAAATTATTTCATTTGTTTGGCGCAATAAATTAAAAATTAAAAATTAGCATAACCCATCTAAAAGAAAACAACTCATTTATTAATTACACTACAAATTTGGATTGTTTATATACAAAAAAGTAAGCTAAAATTGAAAGTGATATCTGTAACAACTCATTATGACTGTTATGCTTCGTTGAATTATTAATTAGCAGTAAAAAAATATATATTTTTCAAAATCATTCATAAATATCTAGATATGTATAATATAACATGTATATACGTGTAAAAATAACTACATAAATATAAATAATACAATTATAATCATCTAGCAAGAGTTAAATATATGATCTAAGTGCCGATCAAGTACAAATTATACAAATCATCCAAAAATAATCATTAACTACATCATTAACGGTGTGGCCCCACAATCGCTCCAAGAGCTTGCTCCTGATAATCCTATGTTACTCCCATAAAAAATCATGATTATTGTAGTCCACACCACATGGAAAATATGCAAAGATAAGTTAAATTTCAAAAAGAAAGCAAGTATAGGAATAAAACATCTATACTCAACATCACCATGCTAACCAAGCAAACACACCACAGGATTCACATCCCATAACAATTGTCATGTTTAAAAGCTAAAACACCCAAGTAATCAAACACTCATCACAATCATATAACACAACAATATACTTATCCAATGCATATGAACAACAACAACTCACACCACATTATATGCACACTCAACAACTAATGCATTATCATACATGCACCTACGAAGATCTCCCAATGCACTTGAGCAATATGTGGCTTAACACTACTGAACCAATCTGATCATTTTCATGCCTCATGCACCCATTAGATCAACAACGAAATTGGGATACCAATCCCTACCTCTAATTCCTACCTTTGATTTCTTGAGTGTGGCTACTTACATTAAGAAAATTTGTTTCTACCATCAAGACTAGTATAGTTAGGTATAGACATACCACAACCTTGACATGCATTACCAAGTTACATATGAAATTAGTCCACTAATTATCTATAAGAAATCACACAACCTTTTCGATAATCAGTTAAGGGTGGTAACTCTCAGTTTTATACTTTACTCTACATTGATTAAGAACCTAGAGAGACTCAATAAAATCCACTCCAAGAGTTTTACACCTACTCAATGAGGGTTTTTAACAATTGGCTTCCTAGAATTTCAAAACGAAATTTTCTATATGAGATCCTCAACTTTCAAACAACCCCCTCTCCTCTACATTATCCTCAACATCAATGTCTCAACATACATAATATATATACATTATCCTAAGTTAATGCATATAAAGATCAAATTACACCAATCAAATTAGCATGCTAATGGACTTATGTAATAATAGCATACTAATGCCTATTCAATACTCCAACCATGTAATTTATAGTGGAGAGATAATTAAAAGTTACGATATCACAATATATATCTTGTATCAAGAACTCTTTATTTCAAAAGAATTACACGATAAAAAAAAAAAAGACAATCTTTAAAGGAAGTTAATATTCCCACAAATTCCTTCCTATCGGGAATAAGTTGAAATGAACAAACTTAAAACCTGTGTATCTTGTTCATTTTCAACCTGGTCTTATCCATAATTGTGCGAAATAAATAAATATTTAATGTTTTAAAAATATTAAAAAAAAAAGTATTCAATACATACCATGCAAAAACAAAAGATAATTAGTTAGAAAATATTGCAGGTAGTTTTGAAACTATTCATTAGTATTGCGAGTTGCAACAATGCAACTTTCAGATCTACATACGAATAATAAATACCCGGTGCATGACTGATTCTTTATAAGATAAAGCTCCAACTTAATAAGTTCTTCATAAGAAAAAGGAATCCAAGCACCACACAATGAAGGTGGCCTAATGTAGACTACTATAATAATATAATTTAATTTGATACACTAATAATGTAATGTAAAAGTATTTTTACCCTATCATTCAATAATAAACTATTTTGTATTATAAGATTATCAAGTATATAATATAATAATTATTTTAAAAGTCATATTTTAGGTGATATGATATATAATTATTTGACAGTATAAATTTTTTTTACATTAATCATATATAAAAATTAAATTATAAACTCAACTACAAAGTAGAACGTTATTATAAAAAAAATTGCAAGTACTTTTTTTTATTTATACCATTAATAGATTGTAATTGGTTGCTAGTTCCGGTTGAACAGTCTAATGTTTCAATCAACATGGTTAAAAGAGACACCCCGGGTATTGGAGTTCAATCAAAACAACAAAATTGACACAAAAATTGAGGATATTGGAACCTTAACTATATAACTCCCCACTTTCTTGTTAGGAAAACTTCAAATTGACCCCTCTAATCAGATAACAGGGAATTAAGCTTCTCTTCCTCACAAAGGCTATAAATTGTTGAAAATTAGAAGAGTGGGGACAAAAATACCTTAACCAAGTATTAATGAGATAGAAACAAACATCAAAGAATTCAATAGAGATACGAAAAGGTGAAGAAACAAGAATTTCTATGTTGAAAAAGAACACCAATAATCAAACAATTGGGGGCATGGGTCAGCACTACAAGTCCAAAAATATCCACAACTTGTTATGAGGCTTGCTTAATTGTAGACAACTCTAATAGTATATACAAGTTTTTAAGTTATAACTTTTGTCAATATTATATGAAAACAAAAAGATAACAAAACTAATGTAGAAAAAAGCATTCAAAAAAAAAAAAAAAAAACTTTGGTGAAAACAAATTCTTAACGTTTATTTTTTAATGTTATCTACAAAGAAGTGCTAAAGGATTATAAACAACATTTATGATTAAAACAACCATTTCCTCAAACATTTTTGTCATTAAGATATTCAAGAAAAGTAAAGGATTGTTCGGTAGATTAGAAATATTAAAATTTAATTTTGATTTATTATCAATATAATTTTTTATAATATTTAAATATAGGTTTAATTAGGTTTTTAGTCTCTATAAAATTATAATTTTGATTTTGGTTGTTATAATTTTTTGTCTTTTATCTTTTAAAATTTGTAAACATAATTTTTAATCCTTGTAAAATATTTTTTGTCCTTGTAAGATGAGCACATTTTGCTTTTGAATATTATAAATATTTTTTTTTATATTTTCATTCACCTAAAATCTAAAATAATTATTTTTGGTCCCTAAAGATGATTTTAAGATAGATAAAAAATATTTATTTAAAAGACTTATAAATATTTTTAGGTTTATCACATACTAACATGATATTACTAATAATTATGGATAACATCTTATATAACCATTTAATTTTTTAATAAACAAATAAACAGTTAAAAATAATTACATAATAATAGAAACTAAAAACATTGATTCTAAATTTTGTAAGGATGAAAAACAAAAAAAAATTACAGAGATAAAAAATTATAACTTACTCATTTTATAAGAATTAAAAATATATTTAAAGTTTAAATATTTCAATAAAAGTGCTAAAAGGTGTCTTTTAAAATTTAATTTATTTTAGCGTAAGTAAGCACTAGTTTTGGAACCCAAACGAGTGCTTGTGCTGCATAATATTTCCCTTTCTTCTTTAATCTTCATTTATTGTAGTTAGCTATGAAGAGAAAATGAGACATCTAAAAATTGGTCCAATACTGGCTTGCTGGAACGAGGGAATATACTACTTTCAATGTTTGTTTAAATATAATTTTCGTTCTTTAAATTTAGAGTATGTATTATTTTAATTTTTCACATTTAAAATTTATATTTTTAATCTTCAAAATATTAAAAATTATTATTTTAGTTTCTTTCAATTTATCGGTAATAGTTGTGATATTAATGGCTAAAATAACATCTTTTAAAATTTTAGAGACTGAAAAATTAAATTTGAAAGATTAAAATAATATATATATATATATATATATTAGAGACTTAAAATTATAAATTTTAAATTTAGAGAAAAAAATTCAAATTTAGAGGAATAAAAGTATAATTAAATCAACTTATTAAAATTATAATTAAACAAACTTTTTAATTACGTAGGATTTTCACGAAGTAACACTACCTCTTACTAATAGTATTTCAATAAGACAAAGTGGTTAAAACAAAGTTTGATACTTTGATTTCATATTTTTCCAAAGGAGACTTTAGGTGTTATAATAACCTTCGGGTCTTTAAATTTATATACCCAATATAATTATAAGTATTCAATTCTTCTAAAATCCAATAACTTAATTGCTACTTTATTAATCAGGTAGTTGTGATTATAATTCATTAAAACATGAAGGAGTTTATGTGTAATGATTCATCATAACTATTATACTACATGAAATTATTATAATTAGTAACGAAATTAAATAACTACTTATAAAAGAAATAAGTATATATATATATATATAAAATAACTATAAAGTAAAATATCTTAATTAATATAGTTAAGTTATATAAGTTTATATACATTAATCCTAAAATAAATGATATATCATAATGTTATTCGAACACAACTATATAAATTATCATGATAATATTGACACTCATCTGGTGTATTGTATAAATTAAAATTTAAGTTTTGTTGATAAAAAGGTCTTTTTTAGTTTTTATGAATAAAATAAATAAAAAAAATCAAAATTTTAAAGTCTGAAATATTGTTTAAATCTAAATTCAAAATAAATCCTAAATTTTAGTATAATTAGTCTATTAAAATTAGGAGTTTAATTAAAAACATTTAAAACAAATGAAATTAAAAGAATGATTGCAATATTAAAAAATAATTAACATATCATTCAATATGAACTTATAAAATTTTAACAATATTATTGAGTGAAGGATCTAATCACAAGATTTTTAAACTATAAAGATCTATTTAAAGTATTTTTTAACTATACAAACTAATTAAAAACTTGGAAAAACTATATGGACTAACACATTAATCTAACCAAAAATTAATTATTTAACTTCTCTAAAGACATATTTTTAACTTATGGACAAATTAATTATAACTTCATTTTTTATTTCTTTAGTATAAAAAATTAAGACTTAAATATGTTTAATCCTTTAAATATAAAGCAAATTTGTTTCAAATTCTTCAAATTTAAATGATTTTAATTTAAAAAATATTTTCTCTATTTAAATATCATTAGTGAATCAGTCAAATAAAATTTACATGTTATTATATTTGTTACTAAAAAAATTTACTTACTAATACCCTTACTACTTATTAGTATACCTTTGTTAAACCCTAAAATATCATATTAATTTCAGCTAGTGTTGCACAACTAAATATGCCATGTTAGTGATGTTACTATAGATAACCCTAAAGAACTAAAAGTAACATTTTTCAAATGATTAAAAAATTAAATTTAACTTACCAAAAATAAACTTGTCTCAAAATTGAACGAGCAAAGATCGTATTTAAATCAAAAGTTTATTCACGCAATTTGTTCCTCGTGAAATTAAGATTAAAGCCAACAAGTGTTCTACTTAAATTGAACACGCATCAAATCGCCGAAGCCCCAATTTCAAATGCTACATTGGCTTGTACCAAAAGAAGTCTAGCCATTGATTTATCAGTTATTAACTTGACAAATCAGAATCTTTAATCAAGTTCAATTAAAGGGCATAGAGAACTAACCAAAGATTGAGATAGAAATTTAAATGCCTTTCACTCACGCACAATCAAGGTATTACAAAACTCATAAAGTGAATGCAAATATTATTAAATTTCTAAGGTTAAAAGGCCTGCACTCTGCATGAAATTTATATATGCGGAGAGCACAGCAAAATGCCCCACTGATCACATAAAAATATCCATTAAATTTGATGAAAATACAGTAAAATAGTAATAAAAAAAGACTAATTAATACAAGAAAACAAATTGATAATGATTGTGCAGTTCTGAGTTCTACAAGCAATTTTTAAGTAGAAATGCTGTCCAGTCAGAGCTATTTTTGATTTGATCACAAGAGTTGGACATGTTCCCTTGTTTCTTAGATTTTCCATAATCACGAATGAATGACACCAATCTTCTTAGCAAATTCATCGGCATCCTCATCTTCATCCATGTATTCTGGATTTTCACCCTCATCACCTTCATACTCATAATACTCATCACCTTGTTCAAACTCATAGTCCACATCTCTCAGATCATCACCTACATAATCCTGATCCTCGGCAGCTTCATCGTACTGTCGATCCCCGTATGATTGACCATGAGTTGCATCAGTGTCTCCTCCAGCAGCATCAGTGACATCAAGCTTGGTTTCTTCATTGTTTAGCAGATGATTGTTGACATCTTCCTTGGTCTCAGACAGCACTCCATTTTGTGTGTTTGTGACAGGCATAGGATCTGAGCCATTGGTAACTTCTTCATTCTTATTGTCAGATGAATTACCATTCCTGGAGGCTGCACCAGCTCCAGCTCCTCTCTTCTCCTTCAGAATTTCACTGAGAGGCTTTGGACCTTCAAACTGATCAAAATCTTCAGATTGTGGCTGATCCCTTAAACTTCTTCTCCTTCCCAGTGATTGTTGATCCTTATTCTCAGTGTTCCTCCCATTTTTAAGTTCAGCAAGACTTTTTGGCCCAGCAAAATCACTCCTATCACCCATTAGTTCTCTCCCCACTAATCGATCCTTGGAGATTCTCCTTTCATCATCTTGCAACCTTCCTCTCATTCTGTCATGGATCCTTCCCTGGTGAGTGACCTGTAACCTTCCAGATGACAATCTGCCCCTAAATCTTCCTCTGTCCTCCCTGTCTAGCTGATCATCACCCCCATCTGATGGAAGTTTTATTCTACCTCGAAAGCGGTTACCAAGGGAGCTCTCATTCAGAGGTAACTGGAGTGAATCCTTCCTAGACAAGGACCTTTGACTTTGTTCCTCACCACGGCCCTCAAGGGCATAATCATGACTGACAACAGACTTCAAACCATTGCCCTTCCTACGCTTGGATAAATGATGTCGGAGATCTGAGACCTCGACATTTTCAGGGCTGTCAGATCTGCGGCGAGACCTTCTGTCTAAATGGGTGGAAGCCTTTCTGTGCTGCTCCCAAATATATGGCTCCTGCATGTGATCATATGACTCATAACCTTGGGGCCCACGGAATCTTTCACGATCAATATCAGCTGCTAAACTATAATCACCAGAATGTCCTAAATCATATTCATTCAAAGAGTCTAAGTTCCTTTCATCTTGACCTCTTGCTTTACCAAATTCATCTTCCCCATGGTAGTAATCAGAATTCCTAAGTTCATCAGCTACAAGAACATCAAACCCAGGAGATGATTCTCTGAGAAACTCATCACTGTCCTTACCACTGTGGAAATTGTGATCATCTGGTACACGAGCTTGATGCAGGCGGTTTGACCGAGTTACAATAGGGCCATTGGTCACTGGTGGAGAACCTGTCTTAAATCTAGAAGCCTCATTATCAAATCCCGCAGATGGTGGTGGCACTTTCTTCTCCAACTCAAACATATTTCTTTGAGGAGCAATCTCAACTTTTGGAGCAAGTTTAGCTTCAGGAGCTCCACCTGACTTCACAACATTTCCTAGGGAATTTTTCCTTTCCTGAGTGTGCTTTTCAATGCTGCCAAAAGGCTTCTTAAAACTAGGATTCTCAGCCCCTTGGCTAGTCACTGGAACCTGAGCAGCTACTTTATTGCCAGTGTTAGGAGTAGGAGGTCCATGCAAGAAGGCACATCTGTCACCTTTTAAGCAAAGCCCCTTTTGGAAGAAAATGCAAGGGACGGCTTGTTTACTGGGATTATAAGGTACATGTGTTGCAGATGCTGTTGGAATCTGTGATGGGGGTACAGATGGCCCAGATGGCCCACCAGCCGTTGCTGCCTGTGTTCCTAACAAGCCATCAAGAGGCTACATTCAAAAACAAAATACAGTTAGTAAAAGTCATACAGAGAAATAATAGTGCAGAGGAAAATAGACAAATAGTCCATAATTTGACATGAAATACTCACCGGATGACGAAATGGACATTTGGGATTCAAGCAATTGCCATTCAACCAGTACCGACAATCCCTAGGATTAACACGTGCATACTCGCTATGGCGGTACTCACATTCAATCCCCTGTTCCAACAAAGAAGAAAACAAATCAAATTGATGCCAGCAACAAAATCCAGAGTTCAAAATGTCCAAGCAGTTTGGATGACCAGATAACCTCACATTAAAATACTTGATTTTCACATAAACAAAACAGCGACAGTAAAATACTTGATTTGCACAGCACAAAAAAAAAAAACTGTGCAACACATTTAACTGAATAATTACGGGAACAAATACCTATTTCAAGTAAAATGTTCAAATATATTTGATGACAACAATAAAAACTTCAAGGAATACACAAAATACAGCCAGCAACACCAGTGAACCGCGCAGATCTTGATAATAGGACGCTATGCAAGCTAATCTATCATCATGATACACTTTTGCTACCATGTAGTAGTACTAGTAGTTTGTTAAACTTTTTATTATAATGAAAGTTCATCCACTGTGCTAACGACTGCTTGTTTTCAGATACAATTAAAACATATTGAATGACACTCTAAACCATACAATAAAAAACACCTAAACTTGATTGACCCAACCCTATGTTTTCCTAGCTGGATCCATAGAATTGATCTAATTTAAACAATAAAAAAAAATTCTCACATTACCAATCACAATAAACTGAAGAACCCCGTTGTCCCCCGTTCCCCTCACCATATCGAATAAAACGGGAAAGGGTGAAAAGACACAGAAAAATAACGCCAAGAGAGATCCAATTATTAACACAATGATCAATAACAGTTTCACAAAACTAGATACCCAAATAAGCAATCCATAAAATTAAAATAATTAAAAAAAATCCCCATCACTATCCCCAAATTAACGAATTTTGGAAATTCCTACACAAACTTTCACAACACCTTTCACCAAAATTCGATCCCCCAACCCAATTTGAAACAAAAACAACCACGAAAACAATTTCCAGAAACACACGAATCTGAAACCCTAAGAGAAAAAAATTCCCAAAGAGGCAAAAAGCCTGTTTTTTTTTTGCTCACAAAAAAAAGTGCGAGAAAGTACCTTTTTGCATGTCAAGGGAGATGCAAGGAAGTAAACACAATCGGTGTTCCTCTTCAAGGCCTCATCTTGCGAAGAGGGTGTGGGCTGTTGTGGCTGAAGCTGAGTCTGAGTTTGTTGGGCTGCCATGGCTGTTGTTGAAGTTGAAGTTGAATACCTCAACCCAACGAACGAAAAGAAGAAGAAGAAAAAAGAGAAGATCGAATCAAAGAGAAAGAGAATGAGAGGAAGATGGATCCAAATCCAAATCTCAACCTCAGGAGAATAAGTAGAGAGAGAGCCGCCACAGAAATTGGGGTCAGAGTAGAGAGAGAAAGAGAGAGAGAGAGAGTGTTGGAGTATGTGAATGTGATGGCTTTATATGGAGGATGGGAGAAGAGGGTAAGGCTGAACCTGCTTTGCTCTTTGCTTTGGTTTGGTTTGGTTTCGGCTTCTGTTTTTTATTTTTATTTTTATTTTTAATTTATTTATTATTTTGTAAAAATTGAAATTAATGTGTCTCTCTGTTGTGTGTTAATGATTCTTTTTCGATGTTTCATACTTTCATGCAATGGGACACTTGCCCTCTTTCTGTTGGCTCTCACCAATGCTAATGGTCGCATCAAACTCAAGGCCAATGGCCTAGCTAGCTCATCTACACACTTCCTGCTTCAATTTGGGAATGGCTTTAACTTTCCATGTTTATAACCATAACATTATACTAATAACCCACCCAAAACAAAAAAATTAAATTAAATTAAAACACTTAGATCTTTTTTACTAATTTTACAAAGAGCTTTTATATATGGAGTTAACAAGGTTTTCTCATGATTTGGGAAAAGATACAAGGTTGGATAGATAAGGAAGTGTGAGATCAATTTTTTTTTATTAACATAATAAATAACTAATAATTAATATTTATTAATAAAAAAAAAGTTATATTAAATTGAAATTTTTATAAGACTTTTTTATTACAAAAGTCTTGTGAATTTTAAATTTTTTTGTCATAATTTAATGATTTTTAAGATTTTTTTAATTAATATTTTGTAATATGAATTTTAATGAATTTGTATTTTAAGAATTTATATGATTTAAAAGGATTTAGGTGAATTATTGGATGAGTAAATTATATGTAATTCTACTGAAAATTATACTAAAAAATCCCACAAAATTTATTTATCAAAATAATTTATTGAAATCTCTTTGTTTTTGGACATCAACAGACTTTTTTTTAAGTAAAAAAAATCTTAATTAAATACTACTATATTTTGATGTACTCCAAAAAAATGTTAATTCTTTTAATTAACTACCACAAGATTTTGATGTATTATGAAAAAAATTAATTGAATATCACATAATTTTTTATATTAAAAAAATCTTAGTTAAATACCACAAGACTTTTTTATAATAAAAAAATCTTTTAAAATTTTTTAAAATTTCAATTCAATACACTCCATTAGTTTTTAAAAAACTATCACTTAGATATATAATATTTTTTTAACTTAGTTAATGATCTTAAGTCCAAATTAAGTACAACTAATTAAATATTTAAATAAAAAGATATCATCATAATGATATTAATTAGTTTGAATAAAATAATTCTCTCATAAAAGATACATGTAATCTTGTCAAATAAAATAAATATATTTGATGTTAATTGTTTTTATTTTAAATTTAAAGATATTTTCATGAATATAAAAAAATTAAAACAGTTAAGACATGTTTTAATATCATTTTGAGTAAACTACTATTTTAGATCTTGAAAGTGCATAACATTAACATACATTTAAGAATTAAAGAATTAAAATAGTAAATTATTAAGTTTAAGAGTTAAGATGAAATAACCTCAAGCGTATGGTTCAACAGTAGGGGTTGATCCACGCTTAAACAAAGTCAAAGGTTCGAATCCTGTCTTGTGTATGCAACCGTTATCCCACCCTTTGAGGTGTCTCCAACGTAGCGAGGAGATTAGTCACGTCTGTCGGCCTGGATACTCCAGGGACGAACAAAAAAAAAAAGAGTTTAGATGAAATTGCAGCGATTAGTTTAAAATTTTCTTAATTTTATGAATAATGCGACTGTTATACACTTTTCGAAATCAGAATAGTAGTTTACTCTATTAATTTTTATGGCGATAATTTTGTAATAAAACTTGTAATTTATGTAAAAAAAATCTTTTCACTAATACGGTGGAGGTTAAAGTAGTATATATAGTGATATAGATATGAATTATATTATTATTACTATTATTATTATTTATTTTATATATATATATATATAAAAGAAGTTAGATATAAGTATTTAATGTGTTGAATTTAAATTTAAATTGTTGGGTCAGAGTTCAATCTTTAATAAAAATAATCTTTTCTTAGAGCACTTGTGCGAAATTTTAAAAAAAAATTATTCCTACAAACACTTTAATACAATATAATTACTCTATTTTATATAGAAACTTAAAAATGTTAAGAATTTCAACTATTTTAATTGGAGAAAAAAAATCATTCTTAAAATATTTTCTTTAAATAAAGTAATTAATTTATTTATCTTTTGTATGAGCTCACGCAATCCTTTACAAAAAAAAATAAATAAATAATTTCATCCGAATTAAGTAGAACCATTATGACATTAATGTTTTTTTCTATGAGTATTAAATGTAATTGCATACTAGAACTCGAGCTTGAACTCGAAATCAATAATTAAGTTAAAACAATTTTGAGTCACTTGATATGCATACTTGGAGATAAATTCTTTCACTTTTATAGTTTCCTATTGAATAGGATGATCAAGTTCCTTTATTTATAAAATCATATATCCATCAAATAATTAAATTTTCCTCATTTACAAAAAAAAAATTATTAATGATTAAATTACTCTAAATCAAACAAAAGTTATATTCCAATGTAAATCATATTTACAAGTGATTTCACGCAAGTAACAAAGAAAATTATATGAACTATTAAGATTGGTCTAATAATGGGAAGTTAAATTAATATACATATGATCTTAAATTTAAATTATGTTATTATTATAAATTAATCAATTTCTTTTTCTTTTTATTTTGTATGAGGTCACACAATTTTTTACAACAAAAAAAAATTTCATCCGAATTAAGTAGAACCATTATGACACCAAATTTATTTCTATGAGTATTAAATGTAATTGTATATCATAGCTCAAACTCGAAATCAATAATTAAGTTAAAAAAAATTTGTGTCAATATTGATATATATACTTGGAGGTAAATTATTTCATTTTTACGTTTTTTGTTGAATAGGATGATTAAGTTCCTTCATTTATAAAATTATGTATCTATATCAGATAATTAAATTTCCTTCATTTATAAAAAAAAATATTTTGATTAAATAATTAAATTACTCTAAATCAAAAAAAGTGATATTTCAATTTAAATCATATTTATAAGTGATTTCACGCAAATAACAAAGAAAATTATATGAACCATTAAGATTGATCTAATAATGAGAGGTTGAATTAGTATACATATGATCTTAGATTCAAATTTTGTTATTATTATAAAGTAATCAATTTCATTTTCTTTTGTACGAGGTCGCACAATCCTTTACAAAACAAAAATAATTTTATTCAAGTTAAGTAGAACCATTATGACACCAAATTTTTTTCCTATGTGTATTAAGTGTAATTACATACTAGAGCTCGAACTTGAAATCAATAATTAAGTTAAAACAATTTTTGTCAGTTCATATACACATTTGGAGGTAATTTCTTACACTTTTATAGTTTCTTGTTGAATAGGATGATCAAGTTCCTCCATTTATAAAACTATGTATTTATATTAAATAATTAAATTTCCTTCATTTATAATTTATTTTATTAAATAATTAAATTACTCTAAATCAAGCAAAAGTTAAATCATATTTATAAGTGATTTCATGTATGTAACAAAGAAAACTATATGAACTATTAAGATTGGTCTAATAATGGGAGGTTGAATCAGTATACATGTGATTTTATATTTAAATTTTGTTTATTATAAAATAATCAATTTCTTTTTCTTTTGTATGAGGTCACACAATCCTTTACAAAAAGATAATTTCATCTGAGTTAAGTAGAATCATTATAACACCAATTTTTTCCTATGAGTATTGAATGTAATTGCTTACTAGAGCTCGAACTTAAAATCAATAATTAAGTTAAAATAATTTTGTGTCCGTTGATCTACATACTCGCAAGTGAATTCCTTCACTTTTATGGTGTCTTATTGATTAGGATGATTAAGTTCCTTCATTTATAAAATTATGTATCTATAACAAATAATTAAATTTCTCCCATTTATATTTTTTATTAAATAATTAAATTACTCTAAATCAAACAAAAGTTATATTTCAATTTTAATCATATTTATAAGTGATTTCACACAAATAACAAAGAAAACTATACGAATTATTAAGATTGACATAATAATAAAAGGTTGAATTAGTATACATATGATTTTAGATTCAAATTTTGTTATTATTATTATTATTATTTGAATAAACAAAATATAAATAAATATATTGTACTTGAGAAAGATAAAATTAAAGTTAAGAGCAAATCATACCATGCGTATAACAAAACCATATATTTGATGTTTGTTTGATAAATAGGCTACATCACAAGCAAAAGAGAGAAATCAAACATGAAGGCACATATAAGATTACAAGATAGATATGAGAAATTCCAAATTAAGAATAAATGAGACAAATCATACAAAATAATTGATAAGTGTCTAATTGGTCTAATGAAAATATTAATTTAAGACACTTATTAAGCACAATTTTTTTGGATATAATGATAAAATTATGGCAAATACATATGGAATCAAAAAGGGGCTCTTAATTAATTGAAGTCATTATATGGAGTGATGATTTTTCTTATCAAAATTTCCCTTTGTTTTGCAGATTTTGAAGATTGGAACAAGAAAAAGTTTCTGGAAGCAAATGGCTCAACCCTTTGGATTACTTAAGGGTGAAGGAGTCTCCCAGGTGCTTAGCGGATTAAAAAGGCTCAACCCTTCAGATTTCTTCATGATGAAAGATTCTCCAATCTGCTCAGCCGTTTCCAAGCGCTAAGCGGTTCCTTCTCTTTCTTGCCTACTCTGTTTTGATTCCAACAACTATAAAAGGGTAGAGGAGAGAGAAAATACATATCATAAGTGGCACGAGCAAAGAATAGAGGTGGAGAAACAAAACAGAGCACCTTGGAGCTTGTGGGAACGCGGTTCTTAGGATCAATCTCTCTTCTTCTACCTTTCTTCTAACTATTTTCATCTTGTGATTTATTTTATGGAGAGCTAAAGCTCTAGGGTTGAGATTGATGTAATCATCGAACTCCTGTGTATTCCTTTTTGATTCATAAATATATATATATTACATCTATTATTCAGTGTCAGTGATTTGTATTCT